TGCCAAGCGACGAAAACCCAACCCCGATGGCAAACACCGGGGGGGACGACAACTGCGTGGGGAGAGAAAAAAAAGGTCTAGCTAACACACCTGATCCAGGGCGAAGGGACTGGACCATGGAGATCCTTCCAAGCGAACTCGCACGCGCCTGTGCTGCTGCTCCTCTGGGATAGTGTACGACAACATGAGAGGTCGCCTTTTTTTTTTTTCGCCCGCAGCGGGCAATTCAAGCAGACGAGACGGTAGCGATGGGAGGGCGGGGAGAGGTGGAGGACACGCTCGATAGTCGACGCCGGTTAAAAGACAGGCAAACGGGTGCTTTCGTAAATCGCATGTTGCCTGCTGGCGCATGCGACGATGTTTGAGGCTCTCGGATCGCCACGGATCAATGCGGCAACGAAGAAAACAACAACAGCAGCCTCCCAGTGTCCGTCGGATCCCTCAACACTCACAACAAAGGGCCTTCGTCGACGTCTTGCCCTTGCGTGGACAGCCGTGCCCCCGGCGTCTCCGCATCATCACCCCGCCCCTCCTCCCCCCCCGTACCGCCGGAATGCCCGCCACCCTCTTCTCCATCTTCATCCTGCACTAGGAATTTGAGCCCCAGCCCTTCTAGCTGCACCTGCCGCTTCTTCGCCGGCGCCGACGCTCCCGCCACGCCCGTCGCCGGCTCCGTCATTACTACAGCGGCTGTCCGTCCACGAGTGGCGTATTTGTTGGGTTCGAAAGACGACACGGGCGAGGATGCGGACGGTCTTGCCGTCGTCGTCATCGTCGTCACCACGGGGGAAGCTGTCCCGACATCCCCCCCCGCCGCCACCGCCTCCTCGACAGCGGTGGCGACGGTGGCGACGGCGTTCTCTACGCTGGAGGCACGGTCCGTCGCCGCCGTCGCCGGGGTAAGCCGGAGGTGTTGCGACCTCTCCTCGCCCGCGACGGCGGCGGCGGCGGCGGCGGCGGCGGCGCCACCTAGGCCGGCCGCCGCGCCGCCGCCTTCCCAGAAAAGGGGGTTTCCCCCCCCCGAAGTGTCGTAGGCGTGGCCGCCGCTAAGCCTCGAAGCGTGCAGGTAGTGCTGGAGCGTCAGCGGCAGCGAGGTGGCGTTCACGACCCAGTAGGGCACCCACAGCGACACCTTTGCCACAGCAGCAGCAGCAGGCAGCACCGGTGGACGCAGCAAGCGGTACAAACGAACTGGTTGAGGGAGGCGAGGGGAGGGTGCCGCATTGAGTCTGGGTAGGGTGGGGGTGATCGAAAACGAGCGGGAAACTTACAGGGATAGATGGGGCTTGGAGGCAAGCCAACGAGTGAGGCGGAAACGACTGCTGGTATATCGTAAGCCCCACTGCTTCCTTTCTACCTTAGCCAGACACTGCTCCGCGTACGAGCCAGCCAAACCAACCGGCCGCTTGGTACACGCTTTCCTATAAAAGGCCAGCCGCCCTCCTCTTACCAATAACCCCCCAAACGAAACGTTACTCCCACCACCCATCGCACCTCCCGACGCCCGCACGCCAAAAACGCCACCTCAGCGTTCACCCGAAGCCCCCCCTCCCCCCCTTGGCGCACATCGCTGAGCCCCACTTCGACGATGACACTCACGACCGCTGCTGCCTCCTCCACCCCGCCGCCGCCGGCCACCAGGCCTCCACCGCCGCCAAGCCGCCGCTTGCGCCAGAGGTTCCTCTGCGCCGTTGTCCAGGGCACTGCCGCCGCCGGCGGCGGCGGCGGAAGCTGGTCTGCGCCCGCAGCCCCTCCGGCGGCAGCGGCGATCTCGGCGTCCGTGAGAGCGTCGCTCGGAAGCGCGGCGGAGGACCGAGAGGAGCGCAATGTCGCCCCCCCCGATTCTGAGTCGCGGCGGAGGAGCCCCCCCTCGCCGCCGCCGCCATCGCTGCCGTCGTGCTCTTCTGCCGACGGTGCGGGCGGCGGCGGCGGCGGGAGCGGCAGTACGAAGTCTTTGCTCCACCCGAACCCCTCCAGGTAGACGGCCGCGGTCACCTGGGAGCAAGGAAAGCAGCAGCAGCAGCAGCAGCAGCAGCAAGGGCGACAACCCCCCGCCCCGTGGAAGCAATCGGCGCGTCGAGGGATGGGTTGAGAAGAGCGTCGAAAATAAATGAACAAAAATGACGGTTGATCCAATCGGGGTATGATAAGACTGCATCCAGTCACGTTCCGGAACAAAGGTTGCGAACGAAGAGGGCGGGGGGATTGTATCTATGCCAGCTCCATTACCTGCTATGTAGAAGTAGATTTTTCCCTCTCTTTTCTGTCCCGACGAAAAGAGCCACCGGCGCATCAATCAACCAATCACTCACTCGCTGAACAAAAAAGCACCAGAAACAGAGCAAACTACACCTCCGCACGCTTACTGCACCTGGCGTATGACATGACATGACGATCGTCGACCGACCGGGGGCCACCACGTCATTTATCCGTGCTTTCGTTTTGCCTCAAAAATCATGAAACACGAAACAACCGAAACAAGAGCGCAAGGGCAACCTACAGTTTATCATGTCGAACGACAGTTTCAGAAGCATAAGTATTGTGTCTGACTAAGACACGTTCCGAAACCACCTCATAGTCGTTCGTCTCTCGTTCAGACGGACCTTCTACAGGCAGGTACACCGAAAACGATTGGGCGTTGCCTGAGAAAAAAAAAAAACACTCATTCTATCTACAAGATCAACTGTCGCCGTATCCCATCCGTACGAAAAAAAAACTTGCCTCTTCGTCCGGTGGACAGTGAAGCCATGACAACTCGTCCCCTCGCTCGATCGTGTCGGACCATGCCCACTCCCCCGCCCCTCCCCCGCCAGCGGCGGCGGCCCGGTCTCCGCCGCTTCCGTCACCCCCGGCGCTCTTAGCCCGGGCACGAAGGTAGGTCAAGGACGGAGACGACGACGGGCACGACAGCCGCACGCCCGCGGGCGCGGCCAACAAGTTGGTGAGCGACATGGTCGGCACGAACGAGACCGTGGTCACCTTCCCTCCGGCGCCGTTCCCGGCGCCGGTCTTCGGCGCCGGCGCCTTCCTGGCAACGGAAACCCCGCAGAATATTGGCCTCGTGCTTCCGGCTTGCGGGGGGCCCGCGCGGGCGAACTCGAGGGTGCGGTGGAAGCTCGCAGTCTTGTCCGTGGTGGTATCTTCGCGGAGGCCCCATTCTTCCCGGTCGGGGAGGACGAGGAGCGCCTGTTGGAGGGGGGAACCAACCCCCCCCGCGCGCATCGTTAAGTTGTACGCATACGCGATCGCAACAACAGAGCACGGCCGAGAGAGAAGTAGAGAGAGAACACAGGCGGGCAAAGCTTGGCATGTACTTCTACTAGCGAGCGTCGCTTCGGCGCGACAACGCCGAACGAAAGGAAACAGAGCAACACCACCACGGAAGGGTGCGTGAAGACGGACACGCGCGTGTAGATAGCATGAGCAGTCAAACAACAAATCTAGCAACGCACAAGCACAAGGCAGGTGAACCGAAGGGTAACGCGTCCAAAAACATGTTGCAACGTGAGTTGGGAATTGGCAACACACACAGAGAGAGAGAGAGACACACACACAGGCAGACACAGAATGTAACGCGATCAACATACCTCTTGAAACTCTTCTGCCACTACGCCTGCTTCTGAAGCAGCCTGCGCCCCCCGCTCGCCGTGGCCACCAGGCAACGAAGCAGCAGCAGCAGCAGCAGCAGCAGCAGAAAAGCCATCATCAACCCCCGAGGAGGAGGAGGAGGAGGAGGAGGAGGAGGAGGACTGGTCAGGCAGCCTTCCCGTGGTGGCGTCTGACGATCCCCCTGGTGGTGGCTGGTCGTGGCGGCAGGAGCCGCCGCGGCGGCGGCGGCGCAAGACCGGCCTGACGACGAGTAGCTTCCGTCCTTCCACCACCGCCGCCGCTAAGGTGGCGGGGACCGGGCACGATCGACCTGACGGCGGAGAACAAAAAAAAAAAGAAGTAACTGTCATTGCTTACGTATTCAATGATAATTTGATCGTGATCCCGGACTCTAGAATCAGAAATCGATTCCATGTGATGTAATGAAAAAAAGGAAGGAAGCGTAGTCGCTGTCGTCACCGCACGGAAACAGCCGTTAAGCCACAAGCAGGCAAAGCGGGGGCAACGAACGTCGTGTACCAGTGTGTATGTCGCTTCGCCGAAGAGATGGTGTGTTCCGCTATATACCAGTATCGTGGTGGTGACGAACAGCTTATCATCCACAGATGTCAATCCGCGCGAGCACCACCAGACTGCAAGTGACGGTCGATCGGCAATGATAGTTCTAAAGACCGAACCAGATCAACCTCACCTCACGAGAGTCGTCAGATTAGTCAAGCCAGGGACAAACAAAACGAAAAAGAAAAAAAGTGCCCCGGAATGATCAAGGTGCGACTCAGATGCAGCCAGTCGCTAACACCATCAACAGGAGATCGAAAAACTGTAGCGGCTTCGCACAAAACAGTTTTCGAGCAAATGCAGCAGCAGCCGCGCCGCTCACCCCACCCCCCCCCCTCGACCCCAGTGTCTGGAGCCTTTGGCCAGGCATGCTAGCGAGTACCCTCCTATCCTTCGTCCAAGAAATTGCGTCCGTCAAGAGCATGGTCTCGTCTCCTTTCGCATTCATTTACCGGGCAAAACCATCGTCTCCCACTCGAACCGGGAACCGGCTCGAGGGGCTCCGCGGCTGCGCCTCCCCCTGCTGCTTCCCGGCGCCTCCTCCTGTCCGACTAGCCCCACGTGCAGACACACGTCGCCGCCCATGCCGTTCGCAACCTCGACCAGACTCCGGATGCGCAGCATCTGCCGTCACGCGCCACACGCGAACACACATGGCAGCAGAATGCACGCCGCAGGCAGCGAAGGATCAATAGGAAGGTGTGAGAGTTGAAAAAAAAAGTCAAAATATAACTACAATAAGTGTATCAAGAAAGTGCACGGAGCTTGCACGAGAGCCTAGATACAAAGCATCGAATCGAACTTTGCCTCGTCCGAAGGCAACAGGAGAGCTGACGCGGCACAGCAAAGTCGAAGTCGAAGGCCCAAAACAAGGCTCCACCCCCTTCCGGAGATCCAACCAAAACGATGCATGGCGAGTCGCCAGCCATCTCACAAACCACACCGCATCACCAGAAACACGTACGTCCAGGGGAGAAACGAGGGTGTGCACCTTGAAGCCGCGATAAGATTCCACTTCCGTCACCACTTCCACGGCCTCCCTTCCTTTCCTTCCCGCCGCCACGTCTTCCGGCGCCGCCGCCAAGGCCAGCGCCGCCCACGTCCAGCTTCCCGGTCGCCACGACGTCGTGGTCCTATCGTTGGACAACGACGACCGCAACATCTCGGAAGCGTCCCCGGCCGATGAATGCCTGCCCTCGCGAGTAGAAAACGAGGACGAAGCCGCCGCCGCCGACGCCGCCGCCGCCGACGCCGCCGCCGACGCCGCTGTCTCAGCAACCATTTTCGCCAGCCTTTGCCCGCCCGCAACGTCCAGAGCGATCGGCCGCAGCGACCGCCAGCTCGTCGCCGCTTCCTCCTCCTCCTCCACTTCCCCGTCCTTCTCCTCCAACTCCAAGACTACCGCGCGAACGGGCCGGCCCAACGAAGCCGCCACCGGTGCTTCTTGGCCGACCGGCACTTTCACGGGTACCGCCACCGCTTCGGCATCATCCTCGCCGTCGGTCAAACCAAGACCGCCGCCGCCGCCGCCGCCGCCGCCGCCGCCGCCGCCGCCGCCGCCGCCGCCGCCGCCGCCGCCGCGGGGTTCACGGTAGTGGGCCGAGCAAACGACGGGGAGGCCGGTCTCGTTGCGGAGCCAGTGGAGCGAGAAGGAGTTGTCGCCGGCGCCGGCAGCGGCAGCCGCAGCGCCGGTCCAACCGCGGCCTTGCCTCTCCGACTCCCCCTGCCGCTGCTGGGCGTGCGCGATGGCGGCGAGGTTCTCGACGAGCGATTCCGTGAGGTTGAGGTTGAGGACGTCTTCAGACACGAATCTCACGTCAACGAATACCCCCCCCGGACCCCCCGTGGCCCTGTTCCCTCGCCCCCCCTCCCCACTCGCGGACCCCCGGTCGAGGCCTCCCGTCGTCGACTCCCGTTGCTGCTGCTGGCGCCAAGGCACTCCGTGGGTCGACAGCCGTCGCGCCAGCCCTTGCAGCTGGCGACCACGGCCTCCGCCGCCGCCGCCGCCGCCGCGGTCGCGGCCGTTTATTCTCCCTCTCCCGTGGTGTCCGGGGAGAGAAAGCCTGCCCGCCCGGTCGGCCGACGAAGCAGGCGGCGAAGGTTCCAACCGCCCGGTGCTTCGCCGTGCACCGGCGCCGGCGCCGGCGCCGCCAAGGCCGACCTCGAGCTCCACCCTAGCACCCCACGGCTCCATCAGGGGCTCCCACGCCATGAGCCTGGCGTTGTAGAAGTCGGACTCTATCTTGGATGAGACGGCGGCGTGAAGACTCCGAGCGGCGCCCGACATCGTCAGCTCCCCCGTGACAGCCGGGACCTTGTCGGTGAGATTAACATCATTATCAGCCGAACCGAGAGAGAACTCGTCGCGAGAGAATATCAACCATCAGATATTGCCGACAAGGGTTCTCGACCGTGAAGCCTTAATGTCGAGTCGCTCCACGGCCGCGCGAAAAAGAGTCAGCGTTTTGTCGGATAAGAAAAAGATGCTCTCACCGTCTTGTCTGTCTGCATATCTGTTTTTCTCCCTCTTGAAGTCGGCCCAATCGGAGACGTCGTAGAGCACCGAAGGCGGCTCTCAGCGGGGAAAAAAATACGCTTCACAGCCATACCACACACTCCAGCGATCATGCATGCAACAGCGAATTGTGAAGTAGGAGGTGCAACTTCCACACGCGACACGAACCCCAGGACTACAAAGGCCAGAGCAGCGCAACTATTGACCAGAACAGCAAGCACCATTGGCGACCCCCGCCCCCTCAAAAACAGGCAATAGCACTAGCTAGACAGCTCGTTAGGCGCACCAAACCATGAGCAAAAGTGACCGAAGGGGCCTCTCCTTCCCCACCTTGACGACGACGGCAGGCCTCTTCTGCCGGTAGAAGTTATTCACGATCTTCATCCTCGCGCCCGCCGCCTGAAATCGACCGCGGCAAGTCCACATCGTCGCCAGCTCCGACACTGCAGTCGCCGCCGGTAGTGCTGCGGTAGAAGGAGAAACAGGAGGAGGAGTGGCGGCCACACCCGCTGGTGATTCACCGGGGCCCCGTCCGCCGCCGCCGTGCGACAGGGAGGAGGGTGTGCTTGCCGCCCCGTCCGTTGCCGCTGCCGCCGCCGCCCCAGGACCGGAGGACGCCCCCGTTGACGATGGCGGCGGGCTGCCGCCGCCGGCCGCGAGCAGCAGCGGTCCAAGCGAGTTCGTCATGATGCACGCCGCCAGCGGGAAGTCTAAGAAAACGCGCACCGTTATCGGGGACACCGATCCATCCAATTCGCTAACGAGCTGCGGCGACGGGGCCGCTACCGCCGCTGCCGTCGATGATGACGACGGCGGCGTCGGAGGGGACCGTGCCAAAATAACGTGCTTGAAGTCCACGCGGAAAGGGAGGACGAGTCCCTCGCCGTTCGACAAACCACCCCGAAGGCAGCGTCCGGTCGTCCCCGCCGGCGCGGGCGCGGGTGCGGTGGGCTGCCGCTCTTGGCCATCATCCGCTCCTCGAAGACCAGCCGGCACTGCCTCCTCCGGCTGCGTCGGCGAAGGCGACGACTCTTGCTGCGAGGGTCCAAAGTCTGACATCGACGGCCGCGCGACGAAAACCTGCAGGCCTTCAAGGCCTAGGCTCATCACGCAGAGCTCGGCAGCCGTTGTCTCAGCAGCATCGGTATCAGCAGCAGCAGCAACGCCGGCAGCAGCACCAGCAGCGTCAACCTTCTCCTCGCCCCCTCGCGGCCCCGCTCGGGGTGGGGTCGTCGGCGGACCGGCGGCACGAGGGGAGCGCTCAACAGACGACACCGTCCCCGCCGGGCCCTCGGCAACCAAGCCCACCGCGATCGACAAGGCCGCGTGACAGCGCCCGCAGGCCGCGACAATCGCTTCCACACCGGCCTCCCCGTCCACCGCCGTCGCAGCCGAGGCGCCGCCGGGAAGCCACAGCTGCAGGTCGTGAGCGGACGCCGACACGTAGATTCGTCGCAGCCAGAGCATCTCCGCGAGACCGGCGTCGCTCAGCGCGCGAGACGCCTGCCACCGCCAGTTGTTGCGGCGCCCGTCTTCTTCCTCTTCGGGGATACCCGTGGCGGCATCACCGCTGCGGCCCTCCTCCTGCCGCGGTGGCGGCGGCGGCGAGCTCGCCGCCGACGGCCGCAGCAGCCTCTCGTCTGCTGGCCGAACCCCCCCGGCCGTAGGTGCCTCGTCTACTCGTGCCGAATTGCCATCCTCACCGCCGCCTCTAGCCCCGAGACTACTCTCCTCGTTTTCTACAGCACCAGCAACAACGCCCGACTCTGCTCCACAAGAAGGACCCCTGGCGAGTCCTCGTTGGACGCCGGCCACCACGCCGAAGACGTCCAACAGGGGCGCCGCCAGCAACACGAAGCGCCCGGACGCCAGGCGAGCGTCGGCCGTTGCCGTGCCCGAAACCGGGCACACGCACGCGCGGAGCAGCACCTGTTCGTCGTATCCGCCGCCGCCGTCGTGCACTTCTTCCCGCTCACTCCCGCTCTCGGTCTCGCGGGGTTGCCGCCACCAAGCCGCGGGGAGAACCCGCAACTCGTCACCGCCGCCGTTCTCTCGGCGGCGACCGTCCTCGCCCCCTTCCGCGCTGCCCGCCGCTGGCCCTGGCCCACCGTCGGCGGCAATATCGTCGCCGCCGATAAGCTTGGCGAGTGCGCCCAGCCGGCGCCTTCTATCGCTCACATCCGTCAGCGAAATCCTCTTGATGGCAAACTCTGCTCGACACTGCTGCTGCTGCTGCTGCTGCTGCTGCTGATATACTCTACCGCCGAACTGCTCGTCTGGTGCACTGCCCACCACCACCGCCGCTTCGGCCGCAGCCGTATGCATGACCGGCGAAGACTGGGACGCCGTCGCCGCCGCCGCCGCCGCCCCGGGCGAAGGGACGTCGACCCCGACACCGATTCCTTCGACCTCCAGGAATACCAAGCCGGAGTAGCAGAGGTGCCGAGTCCCGGGGATCGCAGCCGCTCTTGTGCCCCGATGTCGTTCTTCGCCCCCCCCGCCGCGTCGGCGGCGGCGGCCGGCCGGCGCGGCGGTGTCGGTCACCGCTCCGTCAGTAGGCGCTGGGTGCTTTCGCGCGACCCCGTTGATCCTCGCTTCGGGGTAGCCACCACCGGCGGGACGGGCACCCGCGGCCGTCGCTCGGCCGCCGCCGGTGCGTTGACTTAAGTCCTCCTCCTCCTCCTCCTCCTCCAGCAGCATCACGCTGAGGGCGTCCACGATGAAAGTCCCGAGGAACGCGGGCGGGACAGATGGGGCCTTCGCCGCCGCCACCGTCTCAGGTGCAGGCGTCGTTACCGCCGCCGCTGATGTCGCCAGCCCCTCGCCCGCGTGCTGCCGGTCGCCCTCGCCAAGCGTGGCGTCGTTGTTGCGCGGCGGTCCGTTGGAAAGCTGGTGCCGGGGAAGGGTGGAAACAGCTTCATTGACACCCTGCGGCGGGTCCCGGGCTCCTTCCGGCGGCAGAGGGGATGGCGCCGCCGCACCCCGACCGTTTGCCACCGCCGTCGCCTGGTCGCTCTTGTTACTCCCAGTGGCGACATCACCGGCACCGGCATCGGGGGATTCTACTACGGCTGTTGTTGCAACTGCTGCAGCCTGCGATCCCTCCACCGAAACAGACGCTAGCCGTTCCCGCTCAGGCTCGTCGGTCGCCGAGTCTACTTCTACCACGGCGGTGGTGCTCTCACCATGCTGTGAACGATCAAGGTGCGGAGGTGACGGCGAAGAAGAAGGCCCGGCGAAAACAACAGCCAGCCGGTCGGAAGCGTCCATCGCAAATCGCGCGAGGCCGAGCATGTGGGACTCGGTGAGGTTGAACCGAACCGGTGTCACCGCCACCCCAAGCTGGGGACGTTCCGAAACGCCGCCGCCGCCGCCGCCGCCGCCCGCACCGGCACCAGCACTGGCACCATCGCCTTGGCTACGCGATAGGACGGGTCTCGGGGGAAGAAGCAGAGTTGCCGCCGCAACGGGTTCATCGCCACGGCTCAACCTCTCCCGTAGTTTCTCCGCGAGGTCGTCATCGTCCCGAGGGGGTCCGGTGTGGCCGCCGCCGTCCCCGCCGCCGGTTGGTGGTGCAGGAGGGTCTGCCGCTCCTGTCGCCCCCAGCAGGAACCTACCCAGCACTCGAGCGTGCACGGCCTCCAACAAGTCAAACCCTTCCGGTTCCAGCATGACCGCGGCGGAAGACACCAGCGTTTCCACGGAGAGGCTCCCCCCCGGGCCGCTGCCGCCGCCGCCGCCGCCGCCTGCTTCGGTGGTGGCGGCGGGCCTGACGGCGGGTGCCATCCACGTCACGTCTGTCAAAAGGAGGCCGAGTTTAGCGGCAACCCGACTGCCCGCCCGATCGGCGATGATGCCGTCTAGACCGCCGCTGCCGCCGTCGGCGCAGATACCACCGTCGAGTGGGACGCCTAGTTCGCAGTCGCACACCTCCAACCCAACCTGTGATGGAAACATCGTTATAGTAGGCGTTTCGAGGTTCAAAGACGAAGGTCACGCGGCCACCGCCACTGAGAAGAAAAAAATGGAGCGGAAAACTCGTTGGTGTGTTGAGTACCGAGGGGGGGGGGGGGGGGGGGGGGNNGGGGGGGGGGGGGGGAGGGAGGTGCAGAGCTAAACCGGGGATTTGGCGAACCGTTGTCACTGTCAAGGCCTCCAAGCACCAGCAACTTAACCCAACATCATTACCGGCCCCTGCTGTCCCTCCGCTGCCCACGCACGTACCTTGATGAAAACCAAATTTTCCCATGAGTTGTCATCTTCCGTAACGCCGCCCTGCCGAGGACCGTCGCGCCAGCCTGTTCCGACGCTTCCGGCCGGCGCACCCGTCGTTGTCGTCCCAATACCGTTAGCACCGGCGGCAGCAGCAGCAGCAGTGCCGTTCGAGTCAGAAAAGTCTCGCCGCAGCCCCTCGTCAGCGGTGGCTTGCGCTCCGCCTGCGACCGGTAGCGGCACAACCACGGCCGCCGGCACCGCCGGCGCCTGCGACGGCGACGCGGCGGCGCTTGAGGCGGCCCGGTCTCGCGAGGCCGCGGCGGCGCAGCTATCACCTTGCGGTTGCGGCAGCAGCAGCTGCGACATCATCGGCCCCGTGAGAACATGCCTCGCGATGTTCTCAACAAACGGAACGGACAGGTCGGTCCTTACCGCATCCAACCTGATCTTGACGCGAGCCTCCAGCCCGCCTCCGCCGCCTCCGCCGCCGCCGTCGCCGCCGCCACCGCCGCCGCCGTCTAGGCCCGCCGTCGCGCTCTCGGCACCGGCTGTGTGAGCGTGTCCCCCGGCCGCGCATCGGACGACAACCAAGGCCACGTCGAGCACCGGCCCCACCGCGCCCTTGCGGCGCCCCAGCACCGGCTCCGCCCAAGCGAGGGGGGAACCATCATCGCCGACGTGGCGATCCAAAGCATCGCGGTTGCCGCCCCCGCCAAGCCCGTGCTCTCGGCGAGCGGCATCACCGGTGAGACCGGCGGCGGAGTGCTCGACTGTCACGGCGCCTCGTCCTGGTCGTCCTCCTCCTCCTCCCCGTCCCCCTTCCCCCGCGAAGGAAAGGGCTGGTGATCGTAGCGGCGGCGGTCGCAGAAGGTTCAGGACGTACAGATCGCCAAGGCTTATCACCGCTTTCACACGTACGTTTTCAGCCTGAACGTTTTTTCGTCCGGGAAACACAGAGGAGAGTGCAGGCACCAGGCGCAGAAGAGGGGGGGGGTGAGCAGGCGGAGGATTCACCAACGATATGAACGAATTATTCCTTGCATTCTCAATCGACAGGGCGACAGTGGCGTCCATCATGACACATGCGTTGCCCAACAGCAGCAGAAGTAGCAGCAGCGGCGACATACTTCATGACGTATTCATTGCTCAACAGCGGCACCAGAGGCAGCAGCGGCGGCGGCGACCATGGAAGTCCTTGACATCCGAGAAATAACTTTTAGTCGACTAGCCTCTAAAAACACAAGACCGATGCAAAAACCGACGGAGCTATGACGTCACCACATCTGTTTGCACTCACGTTGACCTTGCAGTGCGCGGCGCTGAGCGCCACAGCAGCGACGTTGACCCCGGCCTCCGTCAGCGCGACGCTCACGGCGGCCAGGTCCACCACGATCGACACGGACAATCCCGGCGGAAGCATCGGCATCGAAACCTCGCCCCCGACACCATCGCCGCTGTCCCCGCCGTCGGCAGGCGGCGGCGATGCCGCAGAGGCCGCCGCGGCAGGAGGACGCTGCTCCGAGCAACTTCGCTCTGAAGCAGCAGCAGCAGCAGTGGTAGCGGGCGCGGACGTTGTTGCTGGTGCGGAACCAGACGGCGGCGGCGGCGGCGGCGGCGGCAAGACGGCGGCGGCCGCATCATCATCATCATCTTCCGTCGAGAAAGCAGCTAGGACCCTCGCGGTCGCCAGGAGGGTCGCCTGCTCTAGCCTAATCTCGATGGCCCCGAGGAGGAGCTTCACGCGGTGGCTCTCCTGCGGCGGCAAAACGAGGAGGAGGCGTTCGGCGGTTTGTATTGCCGCCGCGCGCGCGTGGCCGATCGGCGTGCGAGCGAAACCCGGGAAGGAGGCACACCGCAGTGAAATCGAAACNGGGGGGGGGGGGGGGGGGGGGGGGGGGGGGGGGGGGGGGGGTTGTGGTGGCGGGCGCGGATCGGAACACGCGAACATCACACTAGCTTCGTTCGTCCGGTCCGTGATCCATCAGACTTCTGGCCCAAGAAGCTTTGCTTCAAACGGGAGGAATGGAAGTTAAACGGTTCACACGGGGCCCCCGAACGACGACCAACACGTGCAGCTACCGACGTAGTTAGAAGTGAGGTGGAGACCCCTCAAAACCTGGCATTTGACGTAAGTCTACCCTGGGGGGGGGGCACGGGCCCGGATGATTGTTGAGTGTTTCCGACATTACCCGACAGCAGTATGACGCAACGCTGGAGGAGGGGGGATCTGCGAAAGCTCTGGCGCATGGGTGCGTGCGTGCCCAGCTCATACCGCTCTCGGGGAGGTGAGTCCTTAACGATTGCATCACCCCGTCAGTGTTCTTTCTCACCTGACCCCATTGCGACCCACTTCTGCCGCCGCGGACAGGACTCTTTTTCATGGCGTACGATAGCTGGATGAAGTCCGGCCTCAGCACGCATCCCATGCCCTCGCTCCCCCCGACCCGTCCTCCTCCACCCACCCCGCCCCCGCCGCCGCCGCCCGCTTTCTCTCTCTTCAAAGCTACGGCAGCGGTAGCCACCGTCGCCGCCGCCGACACCACCGCTGCACCTTCAGGTGGAGTCGTCGACAGCTTGCCATCGTTGTGGTCATCACCGCCGCGGAAGGTCACCTCCCTCCTCCGAGCGGGAGGCCCGCCGCTCCCCCCGGCGGCGGTCCACCCACCGTTCCCCCCGTCGCACCTCTGCCACAGGCACAGCCGGGGTCTCGTGGTGGCCATGTCCCCGGCCGCCGGCTGCTCACCGTCTTCGTCGCCACCGCTGCCACCGCCGCCACCGCCGTCCCGCGTAGGCGGCAGCGAATTCGGCCGCGACGGCACGCCCACCTCGTCACCCGCCTTCGGCTTCTGGCCTTCTTCTTCGCCTACCGCCGCCACCACGGCGGCGGCGCCGTCTGGTACAAAGCTCCGCGCGGCCTTCGTTCGATGCTTCTTCGAGGACTCTTGCAAGCGGTCCTGCACGGCGGTATGTGGCGGGGGGGAAGGAAGGCAGGCAGGCAGGCAGGCAGGCAGGCACGCACACCGCAAAGGGTTGGGGGGCGGACGGGAGAATTATTTATCTACGTGCCGAAACAGTCGCGGCTCGGGTCGGATCATGCACTTGCGTTTTAACCCCATGCGACGCTGTGCACTCGCGCTGAACCGGGGTTGCAGACCAGTGTGAAAAATATCTTATCGCTACCGCTAGATACCGGAAGGCGTGTGTTTTGGCCCCATGGTACCTAGGCATGGCAATTACTTCCGTTTACCCCCCCAAGTCAGGACAACCCGACGAGCCGAGATAGTTACTCGCGTCCCCCGTTTCTCTGAACGGTTGCCGTACCACTAGACACGTCGCTCGCTCGAAAACCGCAACGAAACCGATGACTAGACTACCGTATATGACACAAGATAAAACACCCCCTGGACCGATTTTCAAATCTTGATTTCTCAACAACAGAAAGAGTCACGGCGCCGAAAACGGCGGCGTTGGGACCGTCTTGTCGAGAGCTTTTCAAAAATGTATCGTTTCGTTTATGCATCCTCTTGGTCGTGGAGTAATCGAGCGTTGAAAATTGGTCCAGGGGGTTTCTTATCTTGTGTCATATACGGTAGTCTTAATGGTTTGATTTCGGCTCCTATAGACATCAACAACAACAACGTACCTCAAGGTCCAAATCCTGCATCGAAAAAGAGAATCGCGCGCCGTAAGACTTGCTGTGAAGCTGCACGCCCAGCCCCACAAGCCGCAGCGATACCACCTCCTCTTCCTCTCCCTCTCCCTCCCACCCCGCAACGACTTGATCCGACGACCGAACGTTCCTCTTGCCGCTGCTGCTGCTGCCGCTGCCGCTGCCGCTGCTGCTGCCGCCGCCGTCGCTCTCTCCCCCCTCAAAAGCAGCAAGAAAAACAACATCTCCGCCCCGTCCGCTCGTGTCTCTTTTCTCCCTCGACGCTGGCGCGGTCATGTCTTGCAAAAGGTCGACCTGGAGCAGAACAACATTAACATCAACATTAACATCAATAACAACAGAAGAAACAACAAACGGTTGGCGGCGAACACTCGTTGGTGCCTACAAGAGGAAGCACGTGGCCGGAATCGAACATAAAGAAAACACCCCGAAAAACATAAAAAAAAAAACATCTTGCGGGTGCCGCCGCTACTATCTCGTTTCACCTGAATGAGCGGCACCGTCAGCCCCAACATGATGACCTCCCGGTTTGGACCAGCGGGTGGTCGGAAACCTGGGTCACCGCCGCTGCCGCCGCTGCCACCCTCTTGGCCCGGGGGAGACAGCACCGGGCGGAAGCACTGCTGTGGCGGCGACGGCGGCGGTGTGAAGCTTGTTCCGCCGTTCTCCTTCGCTGGGCCGTCGACGTAGGCGTCGGCGTTGATCTCCTCTCTCCTCACCCCAGCGACGCCGCCGTTGCTGCTACCATCGTCGCGTGACCGCCCGCCGCCGCCGCTGCTCTTGGCAATGGCCCATGCCGAGCCGCCGCCACCACCCAGAACACCGCAAAAAAAAAACAAAAAAAACAAGAGAAGAAGAAAAAAAAGTGTGTTGACCCCAAAGGTACGTTTAGTTGCGGCTGTTGGTGTGTCCGATTGCCGAGGGGATAATGAAACGGACGTAGCTTACGGGAGTGGGGAGGAAGAAGGGAGAGGTTTCGATCCTTGGTTCCGTCGGAGGTGAGTTGCGGCGCGGCGCGGCGCGACTCTTGTCGAATACACCATACGATCCGTGACCGGGTGAAAAAACTCAAAAGCTGAAGTCGGTTGAATGGAGCCCTCCGGAGTGGGCATGCCACAGAAAGATGCAGTACAGGTTGCTGCTGCTGCTGCTGCTGCTGCTGCTGCTACTATTGTCGCGGGCATGTATCATATCATTCTGCTCAAACAAAATTGCAGCACCTTCGGGCTCAACAACGGGTCTCTCTCTCTCTCTCTCTCTCTCTTTGCTTTTTCAGGCGTGGGTATGGGTATACGACTCATTGTTCCCCTGTCCTCAGTCTAAGCTCCACAAACCGTTTACCCGGAATTGTCGATCCCCAGCATCTTCGCCGCCCGTTCGAACTCCTCCGTTACATTCTCAAGCGCGGACTCGAGGCCCTTGAGCTCCTCCTCGCACGCCTCTAGCCTTTGCGACACCTCCTCCGAGGCCGACCTAAACAAAACAAAAAAAAGAGGGAGAGACGATAAGGCGGATGACATGCAAAACAACACGCAGTAGAATGAAGGGTACAACACAAGTACACACGAACCAGTGTGCCACACAGCTGTATTCATGCGAACGACAAACACACACACACACACACACACACACACACACACGCAGGGACGGTATGGACGCCTGCGCCTCCAACAAGCCGACCAATACCTGCCGAAAAGCTTGACACGAACAAGTCGAGCATCATGCCGCATTCGTCTCCTCGATACCTAGATACCTAGCCGCTTGCACACATGCGTCAGAAAATTCTGTTTGCCAGGCATCCCGCTCGTACCTCTTCGCTGGCGCTGTACTACCTGGCCATACCCTCGAGGCTTTGCCTTCCCTACCTCGCTCTGAGAGCTCCGTTCCGGTGGTCACACAGACAGGAATTTCTCTGCCGTGTGGACACCCCCTTCTCATTTTGGGTGCATGCATAAATCAATCAAACGCAACTTTTTTCTAGATCTACGGTGTGTGGGGTCATCACATCACCTGACTCTATGCAGCTCATCGCCGGCCAGATCCCTCTCCTCAAGTTTCCCTCGAAGTTTCTGGCGCTGTTTCATCAGCTCCGCCTTTTCCGCTTCCTTCGCCATGAGCATCTCATCCATCTGGACGAAAAGTGAAACACAAGAAAATGAAACAGGTCGTCCGTTTGCAAGCGCAAAACTTCACGCCGAGACATTGACACGTTGACACGTTGACACGTTTTTCATGCGAAGCAGGGAGAGTGAAAGAGAGTTCCTGACGAAACGGTTCACATTGGAAGCAGTCAAAACGAATACCCGCCCCAACCCTCGCCCCCGCTTATCGTTTCCCCGCTGTAGTAAGCAACAATACTTTACCTCCGACACCGGGTCGCGAGCATCCTGAAAGTCCAAGCTGTCATCATCGCCATCAGAGTCATCGCCTCTTGCTCCTCCTCCTCCCTCCTTCGCAGCAGCCGCTTCAGCAGACACACCCACATGCCACCCCTCCTCCCCGCTGCCGGTGTCCTCTCCCCCCGGCTGCGGAGCCGCGGGCCCCTTCCTCATTACCGCTGCTGCAGCTGCACCGGCGGCATGAGCCCACCTATCCGGGCTAAGCGGCTCGCCGTCGCCGTCCGCGGCGTCGTAGAACTCGGATTCCCCGGACACGGTCCGCGATATCCTGCCATCGCCGCCGCCGCCGTCGTCGTGCATGGAGCCCAGGCTTCCGGTGGCGGAGGCGAAGGAGGAAGACCTGCTGCTGAGCCCCAGGCTACCGCCGCCACCCCAAGACGACCCCCCCCACGCAGAGGCAAACTCGTCGTCATCGCCGCTCGTGCCGCAATTGCCGCTGCTGCTACCGCGGCCGCCCCAGCCCCGCCCCCCGCCCCCCGCCCAGTCCAGGCCTTGGTCGCTCAGGCGGAGACGGCGGAGCTCACGACGCCCCAGCGGAGCAGCCGCCGCTTCGGCATCGCCGGGGGTGGGCGCCGATCCCTCGCGGGGTTGGTGAAGGTGGTCAAACCTGCCGTGTGTGTGTGTGTGTGTGTGTGTGTGTGTGTGTGTGTGTGGTGTGTTGTATTATTAGCATCGACCGCGCTAGCCGGCTGACCATTGAAAGGACGTCAGTCTCAGTGCGGTTGAAAACACAAAACACTTGTAAATGCCATTAACTGTGTGTGTGTCTTCTTTTTTTTGTTCCGGCCGCCGCACCAACAGAAGGCAGTCAGTGAGCGCGCGGAGACCGGGCGGCGGCGGGCCAGCGGGCGTCGAGGCGAGCATCGGTTTTGCCGCGGGCGAGAAGTAGGTGTTTCGCTCGGAGGAGGTGATGGTTGATTAGAAACGTCACAACGAAACATGCATCCCGCGATCGGTTTCTTTGCGGTTTCAACAGCGTCCACAATGTCCACCCCCCGCCTGGAGGGGAACGTCAAGCAGATGTGGGAAGGGATTTGGGGAATGGTAAAAAAGACCGCGCAAGGGGGGGATACAGGGGTACCAACTTTGCGAGGTGCGAACGGTGGATTAGTCAGCAGTGGGAAGGGAAAAAGGGAAGTTCTAGCAGGACACTACAAGAGACTTGGAGTGCCCTCGGAGAATGAAGCTTTTGACCAAGTGTTTAAGAAGGAGGTGGACGCATGGGCCCAAAAAGAAGAAGAGACATCGAAGGCAGACGTTGGGAACGTAGAACTAGAAAAGGAGTTCACTGAGGACGAGGTTGAGGCGTGTGTGAACAAGCTGAAGTGCCACAAAGCAGCAGGACCGAACGGGATAGTCAACGAGTTCATGAAGTTCGGGGAGAAGGGGATGATCCAGCTGATGGTACTGCTATACAATTGGGTGTGGAAAAACGAGTATACGCCAAGTAGATGGAGGGAAGGAGTGGTTGTGAACTTGTTTAAGAAAGGAGACAAGACTGACCCAGGAAACTACAGGGGCATCACACTGTTGAACACGGTAGGAAAAGTGCTCTGTAAGCTGCTAACGATAGGATAGTGGGAGTATTCGAGAAGGGACCTAGCATTAGTGAGGGCCAGGCAGGTTTCCGCAAGAAGAGGGGGTGCGTAGACCACGTGTTCACGGTAGGGAGAATCATC